GGGACATATTGCAGAAAGAGAAGCAAACCAACTTTTCCTTTTTTACAACACTAAAGTTGGCTTCTTACTTACTAGTGCCCTGTGTAAATACAGCTAGGCACAAGAAGGTATTAAAACTTTTCAGTCCCATCTGTACAATAATTTCTTTAGAAATGTCAAGAATTCAAGCCCTAGCAGCATTTCTGATTAATACCTGCTTCTAATCTTTGAAACATTTGTTTTGTGGCAGAAGATTAATCACAGAAAATCATCAATTCTAAAGGTCTTTGGTTTATTTTTTATTGCTGGAAGATACATATATTTAAAAGCCAATGAGCATCTCCTCCTAGGAATGTACATATTGCTTTCATCTGTCTCCCTTTATGAGCCTGCTGCATGTTGTCAAGTCCTATAGAATTATTTCCAGCCTGTTTGAATGTTTTTTCCCCTTATTCAACTGTAGACACAATGACAAATCAGAGTTTCAGTATAAGATGTATTTTGCTGGGAAATGACTGTGGTGAATTCAATGTTGTGCTGGTTACTTGCTGTATTTCAAGGCAGAGGAGCTATATTTGATCTTGGGGGTGGAAGAGAAAACCACAGCGTGCAGGCTGGTGGCTGCTCTGTCGCTAATTTATTGGCAGTTTGGGGGACAAAAAATCTGCATTCTCTTTTTATTTTTTAGGCCAGATATTAGCATGAATTATGGCGCTAGCTTTTTTCAACAAGACTCAAGTGGAAAATTTAACTCCTTGGAGAGTTGTGTGTAGTTCTGAGCCATAACTAAGGCTTTTAACTGTCACACTCCTGCAAATCATAATAAAGAGTAATAGGTAAAAAGCCACTGCTCCTTTAAATCAGTGTCACCAGTGACTCAGAATATCTATTGATTTTTTTTTTTCCCTTTCTTCCTACCAACAGTTTCAATTAAGATTCAGCAGATCCATTCTGAGAAAACCCTGTAGAAAATGCTTCATAATATTTTGGTTTAATACTGCTTTTTAAATTCTGTTTAAGAAATGAGCATTTAAAAGTAATTATATCTGTAACACATTAAAACATTGATCTAAAAGGCTAGCATAATGCCCAATTCATAGCTTTTGTTATAGATTTTTGAGTGTGTAATTACTAGAATGTATAAATATATATTTCATCAACTTTTCAAACAACAGCTATACAGCTTTTAAAAGTCAGTTATATTCTCCCAGACATACTACTTTCTGAATATGGGAAAATTACAACCTGGTTTTCTAAGAAAAAAAAAAAACAAAAAACAAAACCAAAACAAAACAAAACGAAAAGAAAAAACCAAACAAACAAACAAACAAAACAAACAAACAAAGAAAAAAAACAACCACCACATCATATTTCCCATGCAAATAGTGTCTGTACCAACAAATCATCTGGACAAAAAGATTACAGGCTATTTGTCTTTACCCTCTGTAGTGCACTAAGCAAATTTCAGTGCTTCATCCACACATGAACTATTCACTAATTTGAGGTTTATAGCACATTTGTCAGGCCCTTTACCTGTATTTGTGACTTTTGGGGATGCTAACTCCAGATGTGCAGCAGCTGTTCTTCCACACAGGATTGTGTGACCATATTCTGCATGGAAGCCCGGTGGAAGGAGGGCAACCTGAGGCTCTGTCATTCTCCAGACCTTGAAAGCTGCAGAAAAGGAAATGAGAAGTGCAGCCATTAGGGAGAAGAGCAAGATGCATGTTTAGAATAAATGCATATTAATAAAAAGGTTTGCCTCCTGAGTCACCGTGCTTCCCATTTAGATTTTCATATCGGCGTGTGGCAACTGCTGTAATTGCTTGCATTAAAAAGGAATACTGGGAATATAATATATTTTTAGTTTTCACTACAGCAATTTATCAACTAGAAACAGAAAAAAAAGTTAACTTTGTACTGTTAGCCAGTTTCTTAAAGACCATCTGAGATCTGTGGATTGTAATTTGGAAACCTTTGGCAAGGAATCTTGAAATACACCATGGATATCTCTGGTATTTCTTTCAGAGACACATACATTTGCAGCTGATACATTTGTGATTTGGTACATGTGGGTCTTTCCAAAGTTTTCTGCCATTTCACAAACAAACTTAGATTGTCCATTTCCATTTTCACTTGGTAGGCTTCCATCTCATTTCCTAGGCAGGCAAGACGTTTTTCTTTTCTTTCAAGATTCTGTGCTAGGGAACTTCACATGTTAAACGTAATTTCACAGCCATCAACCTTTGGAGGCCTCGGAGAAGTGCCTTAGCTCTCCTACATACTTGGTTTTCTACTGGGTTGGACACTAGCAGTTTAAAATAGAAAAGCTGAAAGGCATATCCTGCATGGCAAGTGAAAAATGCTAAGAAATCAATTGCTGGTGTTCTTTTATGCAGACAAGAATTAATTTATGGAAGCTGCACTGAAATGGGGGTTGAAATTTCCTATATTGTAGTTTTAAAATGCCAGAACAGGAGGAGACCTTCAACACTGAGTGGTGTCCGAAGTTCATGACAGGCTCTCGGCTAAAGAGCTATAAATCGTTTGCATGCTTAAGTATCTGATTTATTAAGAAGCTGGAGGGGCTTTGACATCACCATTCTAAAGCTTTTCCTTCTGAGGACAGTCTGAGGTGTTCAGTCCATATTTTCAGTGTTCTGACATTTTATCATTGAAGGGCTAATGTTCTTTGGCTGTTTTCTTGAAGAAATGGAGGACATTGTAAATTTACATTGTAAAGAGTAATGAATGTAAAGCCTGGTGCAGGGAGGATTTGATCATGGAGCAATGCCACCATTCTAAGCCTAGTGATCCCTGAAAACAGGAGACCATCTGATGTATTTTAATGTTGTTATGAACCTTGTCTATCACTCACCTGTGCTGCACATGTAATGAGAAGGACTCGGGAACAACATCGCAAAGCAAGTATCTAAATCTGGTCCATGTGAAGGTGGTGCAGTGGTCTTGGGGGCAAAAGGAGAGACAAGAATTCCCAGTTCATCTCCAGGAGCCTCTGTCTCATGAACAGGAGCAGTATCAGTAAAAAGGTTGAGCAGGAAACCTCCTTTATGGAAAGGAAGAATGTGAGAGAGGAAAAGTGAGATGAAATATAGCTACAGTGGGGGAGAGGGAGGACTGTAAAACCCCCCAGGTTAAAACAATAGGAAAAATGGCAAAGAACTGCAAGAAAAGAATTTCAAAAAAAAAAAAATTAAAACCAAACTATTTTAAAATTAAAAAAAAAAAAAAGCATTCAGACCGAAAAGAAAAAAATAAGCAATGAAAAAGTGGAGAAAAAGACAGATTAGGAGAAAATACATTGATTCAGCTTTAGCCTGTGCCTCTTCGTGAAACACGAGTTTAGAAGACCTTTTGTAACCAGATCAATAAAATCTTTAAAATCGTTTAATTAGATTGAAGGCCAAATGATGAACTCTTGTGATAAAAACTTCTACCTTTATTTTCCAGAACAAGGGTAGAAAGAGTTCACTGCTCATTTACCTTCCAATTGATTTTCCTTCAAGCTAAGAAAAAATGTGGTACATTTGGACAGAAGGAAGGCATTGATATACCTTCTCCTGATTTAGAAATGTAGAATAAAAGATAATGGTTGCTTAAGGATAATTAAAACTGTAGAACAAATGACAAGCCTACAAAGATTCAAGAGGAAGCAAGTTTATATCTATGTATGAGACAAAACTGCCCGTAACTACTGTCCAACAATACTAGCTGTGAAGGATGATTGGCTTTATTTCCAGTTGCTAAAAGTAGATAATTTATTTCTTAATTTAATGCTTACTTCAAATGTAACACTTATTTAGGTTGTTCAGGTGTCAAATCAGAAGCATGCTGAATTTAAACTTAGAGTTTTGGTAGTATGTTATGTTCTTACAAAAAGAAATCAGTGATCTTAAACACAGTGGTTTTGAAAACACTGTTTTATCACATTGGTGTTTTACATGAGTAAACATGTAGTTATTACTTGCATTAATGCCACCATATTAATTTTTCTTTGGAAAGAAGCACACACCACTGTATATTTATTGGTCTAAAATTCTTACATTGTATTTAGTGAAAACTGACTCTTCTGCCTGTAAGGTGCATCTTTGGAAACAAAATAGACTTCACTGATGACAGCATATTAACTGTATGTGTGTGCCATAAAGCCATTTCCTCTGACGGATGTTGTCCTGCACCTTTCTAAAGCTTGGTTTCTTGAAACTTCATTGCAAATAGCAATTCTTGAGTGCTCAACCTGATGTAATGGAGCACTCCTCCTACACCAATATATGCATAAGCTTGAAATTACATAGGGGTGAGCTTGGTAAAACGTGTTCAACCTCTGACCTTCTCAGAGCCTTTCCTGAAGGGGACTGAGGGTCACCTATTGTTGACTGTGTGATTGAGACTTGATGGTATATTGGCTTGAACCTGGGTGGATTTCTCTGTCTTCACCTTTTTAAAAGTGCCTGTAAAACAGTTGTTTGTGATCTGTTACTGTACTGTAATGCCGAAAGAAAGGTCACGGAAGTTTATATTTTTACAGTACAATGTCTAAGACAAGGTCATGGATTCTGATCTTTGCTGTGCTCTAGGAGTCAGCAGAGGTGGATCAAAAGCTTTTTCAGCCCTCTGCTGAGTGAGCTGGGAGATTCTGGGTTCATTTGGCTTGGGTTAGATCTTTTCTAAGAGCAAGGGCTTTTCTTCCACCTGAGCGCCAGGCTTTTGGAATAAAATCTGTGTTCAGACATGGCTTTTAGTATCTTCCCTTCACAGTTGCTTGGTTTTCAGCATTTCGATACCTTCTGTAGCATACAGTGCCCTAATAATTTACAGTGTCCTTGAGCAAAAATAGAGTAGGAGAACTTAATTCAGAGGAGTGCATCTGTTTTGCTTTATGATTTGTTTGCAGCTGACGTTTGATAAGATCTAGTTCACAGTTGCAGATTTTTAGAATTAATTTTGAGTGTGCGCTTGTCTGAACTTTTTATTAATTCTCTTTTTGTTTTCTTTTGCAGATTACAGATAGAAGAATCTTCTAAACCTGTAAGGCTATCACAGCAGCTGGACAAAGCCGTAACCACGAACTACAAACCGGTGGCTAATCATCAATATAATGTAAGTAGCTTTCAGTATTTTCCCTTCTTCTCTTCAGGAGCAGCCTGACTCAGGACTCCAGAATTGCTCTGCTGCTGTCCTGCAGCTCTTTCAATCACAGTTGGCCACTGTCTTTGGAAATGCTCCGTGTTATCTGGCTTCTCCCTGATTCTGTGTTCTGGGGATCTTCTTTCTGTCTCAAGACCCATGTCACCCTTGGGGCTAAGGTCTGATGGTTCTAACTCTTGTGTTACCTGGTGGGGGGCAGACTGCCTTTACCCAAGCATTTTCTAGAGGCTTTATTACATTCTTCTTCTAGTCTTTTTTTTTTTTTTTTTTTTTTTTTGAAATGTAATGAAGTTTGGGGATATGTAATGAAAGAGTGTAATGAAGTTTAGGGATAAAAGGCAGTTCTGGCTTTGTGCAATGAGATGTGCAAGCACTCCTTTGAGTCAAATAAAATATCATATGGAGGTGGGTAAAAGACGTGAAAAGAATCAGTGGTTTTCAGTCCTTTGCAGGAACTGACAACAAGTAGAAAAGAATAACAGCTGATCATTTTTCACAGTTTCATACCTTCGTAGTACATGTTATTTGCATCATGGGCTTTGTCAATATTACACCCACACTGCTGTTCCAGATCAGTTGATGTACATACAAACTATAATGTCCTTTTTCTTAAAGATCCTCTTTGAGTAATTTGTATGTATGCATATATAATCACTGTTACTGTTGAATGTGAGAAATGTTAAGTCATCCTGAAAATGAGTCAGTGTGTTAGTCATTTAAACTTTTACACTTTTTATTAAGATTTTATTTACATAAAACAAATGACAATATACTGGATGATATTTAAGCATTATTCTGAAAGGCAGTCTATTTCCACAGAACCAAAAATAATCGTTTCTCTCTCATGGGACTGTTCTGTAGTAGTTACTGTTCAAAGTCTGATCTATACATAGATGATCATACCAATATAACTATTTCAGCACAGGGAATGACATTTAACCAAAATAGTCACACTGGTGTATCCTGCTATGCAAATGCAGTTTTATATGAGTCTATTGTTTTATGATGCTACTGTTACACTCCTCCTTTAATTCTGGAATAAGCTACAGTGATGTACAGCTTCTCTTTTTAGCAGGATTCTGCGCCATTTCCCTGACACTAGTATTACAACAGTATGACTTCAACCTGGAGACAGTCTTTGAATCTTTATTCCAGTTGCAAACTGCTGTCATCATATTATTACAGAAATTAAGTCTTATGTGAGATTCAGGAGGTGTAACGAGGACATAACCAGGCTTCTTAAAAGTTATGATGCTCTTGTGTCCTAATTACTATGGTTTTATTAGTTACATAGCTGTCTGTGTTAACTGAAATCCATTGGCAGTGTGTTTACTTTTCGTGTCTACCTTGATGGGAAAAATCTAGTAGGACATGCTTGTACTTAAGTCACTCTTGGCCTTGCCTTGACTCTGAAGGCCCAGGCACGACTACTTCCTACAACGTCTTTCTTTTCATTAAGTGTTTTATTAAGGTTCAGGTTAGATGGCTGAAAGGATGTACAACTGGGAGAACAAGTCCATTACCTTTTTAAACCTCTTGGTTAAATTCTTCTGCTGTTTTCAAGCAGCAGTTGCTTTCTTAAAACTTGCTGCATTGCTTGTAATCATGACAGCCCTATGGGGGACAAGACTTTTCACAAGAGAGAAGAAAAAAATGTACAAACTACCATACATGCTGAGGCATTCAGTCACCTTCTGGGAGGTTTCTGAGGAAAGAACAAGTATCTGCTAAATAAGAAAGAAAGGGGTAACATTTCCTGAAGGAAGAGATGATAGAATATTAAATGGGGCTTAAGTGTGGCTGCTCCATGTACCAATAAATGAACATACAACAGGAAGGAGGAGGGAAATAAATTACATGTGGATGAGAAATAGCAATACCTTGTTTGAATACCAGGATGGGGAAAGTGATTTTTTTTTTTTTTGCAAGAAATCATATTAAGCCTACCTTTTTATTGAAATTGCAATTCCATTACGATATATGCCAGGATTGTAACTGTCATAGTTGGAGCCCAGAGGGCAACTGAGCACCACACAGCCGTTCACTCCCCCCTCCCCCCAATCAGCAATGGGAAGGTGAAAATGAAGCAGAATGGCTGTTGAGTCCGGGTAGGGACAGGGAGGGGTGTCTCACCCATTCCGGTCACGGGCCAAAGACAGAGTCTCCAGGGTGTCGTGGTTTGGGCCTGGTTGGCAGCCAACCACAATGCAGCACCTCTCTCTCCCTCCCCTCCGGCAATGAGAAGGGACAGAGAGCCAGTCTTGGGGTTCGAGATAGGACTGGGATGGGGGAAAATCCCCCTTTTATGATCACGAGCAAAAGGCAGACTCGTTAGGGGAAGGAAAAAAGAACATACATTTATTACAGACACTAACAACACATAACAGAGTAGGACAGTGAGAAGCATTGCCACATCTTGAGAACACCTTCCCCCCACCCCTCCCTCCTTCCCGGGCTCAGCTCTGCTCCCGATATCTCTACCTCCTCCCCCAGTGGCGCAGGGGCAGGGAATGGGGGGTGCAGTCAGCGCTGCCACTTCCTTCATGTTCGGTGAGGGGAGTGTCCGGAACTTGTTACCCCCTGCTCCATCGTGGTCCCCCTCTCACAGGAGACAGTCCTCCACAAACTTTCTCTGACTTGAATTCCTCCCACGGGCCGCAGCGTTCCCCACACTGCTCCGTCATGGGTCACTAACTTTCTCCGACTGGATTCCCTCCCACGGCTGCAGCCCTTCCCGAGCTGCTCCGGCGTGGGACTCCCCCGCATGCTGCAATCCTCCCAGCACTGAATTACAGCAGCGGGGCTGCCTTTTCCCATGAGACCCCGGCCTTCTTCGGGCACAGAACCTTGATCATCTGAGCAGGAACAACAGGCCATAAATCAGTGTCTGCTCCACCGTAGATCTCCATGGGTGGCAGGGGGGGGCCGCCCTGCCGTCTCCCCACAGGATACAGGGGGGTCTCTGCTCCGGCACACCTCCCCCCTCCTTTCTTCCTCCATTCCCCCACTGACCTTGGTGTTCACGCAGCTGCAGCAACTCCTCCTCACAAGTCCCACTGCCCGTCACCACGTCCCTTCTTAAATACGTTATCGCAGAGGCGCAGCCGATTGGCTCAATTTCCCAAACAGAAGTGGAGCTGACGTGGAGCTGGGGGAGCTTCGAGAAGCTTCTCACAGGGGGCCGCCCCGATAGCCCCCTCCCCTGCCACCAAAAAACTCCACCACTCACTCAACCCAGGACACAGGGGAAGAGGAGAAAACATCACTTTAATTCAAATGCTAACGAAGATAACAGACAAGGTGGGACAGTGAGAAGTGTCACCACATCCAAAAAACACCTTCCCCCCACCCCTCCCTTCTCGCCGGGCTCAGCTCCGCTCCCCATCTCTCCCCCTCCTCCCCCAGCGGCGCAGGGGCAGGGGATGGGGGTCACAGCCATCTCGCTGCTCCTTCCTTCTCGGGATGGGGGGCTGAACGTCACACATCCCTCCCCTGCTCCCCGGGGCTCCCCTCTCCCTGCAGACAGGCCTCCATGAACCTTCTCCACGGTGAGTCCTCCCCACGGTGAGTCCTCCCCACAGCCGTTCCCGAGCTGCTCCGGCGTGGGTCCCCCCCCCCCCGCGTGTTGCAGCCCTCCCAGCGCCGAACCACAACAGTGAGGGGCAACTTCTACCCTCACAGTCCCGGCTTTTTTTTTAAGTGCAGCCACCTGTCCCGATGTGGGCTCCTCCACAGGCTTCATGGCAGCCTCTACTCCATCACAGACCCCCACGGGTGGCAGGGGGGTGGCCCTGCCGTCTCCCCACGGGATACAGGGGGGGGGTCTCTGCTCCGGCACACCTCCCCCTTCATCCTTCCACAGACCTGGGTGTTCTTCCTCCTCCTAACACCTCCTCACAAGTCCCGACCCCCCTCCCAGGTTCCCTTTCTTAAATACATCATCGCAGCGGCGCAGCCACCGTCGCTGACGGGCTCGGCCCTGGCCAGAGGTGGGGCTTGGGGCTGGGGGAGCTTCCAGAAGCTTCTCACAGTGGCCGCTGCTGGAGCCCCCTCCCCTGCTACCAAAAAAAAGGTGCCACAAAAACCCAGCTTTTCTTCTCTGGGAAAGGGACCTTCCTTTTCTGTGGATCTGTAAATATTACAGGTGTTTACAAGGTTGCGTTGTTAATATCCTTGCAGCTGGAATTATGTTTCATAATACAGCAGAAAAGTTCTCTAGCGGTCCTGGTTAACCCTTCAGAGGCTTTTTTGTGGTCTCCCCTCTTCCCACTCTGCTGGACTATAGAGGGGATAGGGAAACTTTTAAGACTTCTTTCAAACGTCTTCAGATGAAACTTTAGATTTAGTCTCACTTCCCTATCACCTTTGTATTAGCTGTCTACTGAAGCGGTGTAATACATCAGCTTCAGTATTAATGATACCTTCAAGAAGGCAATTTTGGCAGCTTTTCAGAAAGCTTAGCAACATACCTGGGAAGGTAAACAAAGAGAAATTGATTTCTGTATGAAGTCTTGCAGGAATAAACTCACAACTTCTACGCTCGACAGCTTGTTCTAAAATGGTCCTTCCTTGAAATCAAATCACATTTTAATGCTTTTTAAATTTAAAAACCACACAACTTTAAAGAAATCTAATTAGTTTACAGTGTACATGTGGTCTGTAATATGACTCTCAAGAAGTGCTTTAAGCCTACTGCACAAAACACCGTGTTTGCAAAGAAAGCGGGAAGGAAAAAAAAAATGAAAGGCTGCATTGTAGCTTGCTATGAGCAATGTGTTCACAAAACAAAAAGAAGAAAACAGCAACAGATACCGTGCTTTGTCTTTTTTTTTTTTTTTTTTAATAGCACTTCACAATGTGCTCTGTGTTTTTAGACAACAGTGGGAGCTGTTGCTGACGTTGGAAGGAGATGCTAGAGTGTTGCTAATTAAAATGTGGGCAACCGGGACACCAGCTGCAAACAACTTTTCAGAAAAGGGAGGGTTTGATATTCACTTTTCTGTGCGAGTTGATTTTATACATTTACGAATTAAGAATATTAGAATATTCACATTGCATTTGTATAGGGAATACAAACACTCCTCTCTGATTTATTTTAGCTCATCCAGAAAATGTAAAATAGAAGGTCCTACTGGGGAGAGTAAACTGAGGCACAAAAATAATAGAGAAAGAAGAATGCTGGGCATTACATTTACTAACAAAAAGAAGATATTGTGCTTTGGTTAGAAAGGCTACTTCATGTTATTTTCCAGGAGGCTGTTATTTGTATAATTAGGATTTTATATGCAGTCATGAAATAGTCCTGTCAGAGACATAACATCAGTGAAAATAATGATGAGAATTTCCTTATTGTTACTTTGTTCCTTTGTGTTGGAAGCATCAATTTTATAGCCAGTAGTTTTTTTCTCCACATGGAGATAGTTGTAGCTAGTAGCTAGTTGCTAGCTAAGCACATTTTCGCTATGTGTCATTTGAAGAGGTACAAACAGTACCATGGATTTTTTGTTGTTCTCAGAGATTGTCTTGAGAGTCGTAGTAGCTTTTCCCATTACGCCCATGTTACTTACCTGTCATTCCCATAGCTCTGCCACGTACAGAAGGAATAAGCTCGATGCTTTGCTCTTGTTCTTGCTCCATAAAAACAAAACAAAAATCAGAAAGGGGGGAGATTGGTTTCTTCCATCACTTCAGCTTGACCTTCCACCTGAGTAGGTTGCAGTTTGTTTCTGTTTCTGTTTTTCTTCTTGTTCATTTTGGTTTTGTTGTTTGGGGAGGTAGAAAGTCTCAGAAGGGTTGGTAAGAGCAGGCATAATAGCTGCTGCTGTGGCAGAATGATGCAGCCTGTAACTGGCTGTCTTTATATTTCACACTGCATCTTTCAACTGGTATATTTTTGAGTCAGAGAAAAAATGCTAACCTCAAAAACAAACACATAGGTTTTTACACTGAAAAGTGACCTCAGATGTATGCAGGAACCCAGAACTTGGTCAAGCATTGCAAATAGAGGTGCCTTCATCTCTCCTACCATCTTCTGGACTTGACCTCTAAAGTGCTGGATGCTTTTTTGGCAACAGATTAAGGCTGGATGATCCATCTTCTCCTCTTCTCAAATGTTTACATGTGCATATATTCAAAACATTTTTAATGTCCCTGGTCCGCGTGTCCCAGAAGCCAGTGTCTCAAATGTTATAGGGCGCTCTATTGAAAATCCCATAGAGTGTTGTTTACCGGTGTCAGCTGTGATCTGATCAGCAACTGCACAGAGAAACTGGACAATTCTGTGGATCCCTAAGTCAAAAAAGGCTGAAAACTCAAGCTCAAAAAAGCCTGCGGCAGTGGATTGCAGTGGGTAATTAGCAAACTCTGCTTCCAGAAGAATACGGTGTTGATGTCTTGATTTTTGAAGAGGACTCTATAAAGTTGTGGTACATGTTTTCTTCCCATGTGGTACAATATATCCTACAAGATTGTAATTCCTGTGTTTGGCCGTGAACCACCAAAGGGAAAGAATTTGGAGCAGTTTTCAAACAGGACTAAAAAATATTTGTTGTACCCAACTAGATAAGATAGTATTTAATAACGTTTGGGTTGGTGTTATTTACACATTTTCTTCTAAAAACACAACGTAATGTGGCACTGTCTGCAACTTTGTGCATGCCAGATATTTTCTCTACATTGGTTTCATTCCATGTAAAATGATGAAACTGACATACTTCGTGATGTTCTTACTGGTTTGTTTATTTGAAGCACTGTCAGTCTCATTACCTATATTACAGTGGATTTTCTCTTTAACTCTCTCCAGCTTACAAAGCAAAGAAGCAGTTTTCAAATACAGATTGTATTACAAGACAGAAACCAAAACTGTTCTTGTAGACGGAAATGAGACTTCCAAAATATACAGTGCAATGGGATTCTGATCATAACAAATGCTTTTCAATGCTAGCATGAAGTATCAACTTTAGACTGAGATGTGACATATTAATAAATTTTTTTTTAAGACCAGAGGGACAGCTTCATATTAAAATAAATTTTAAATGCATTTCTTAAACCCTGCATGCTTCATTGTCCTCAGGATGTGCCTGTGTCCTTGTAGCAACTCCCTACACAATTGCTCTGAGTTAGAACATGTCTGTGATAGTAGATGATTGCTCCGGAGAGATGGTTTCTCTGACAGGAAAAATATATAGTGCTCATCATATATCTTAGTAAGTTCCAACTTAAGCCAGGTGTAAATTAAAAGCATTTTTAATGCTGCAAACTGACTAGCATCAGATCAGTTGAAGATCAGATGCAAAGAGACCTTTTTGGCAATCAAACATTTTGATTTAGTGTATTACTTATCTTGCAGGTAGCACTATCAGACATCTCATACTTCATCCTACATTTCCCGCAGCAAGGAGCCAGCCTCCTCCTGCTCCCCACTCTTTGTATCATTTCTTTAGGTGCTTCTTACAGAAACCCTTGTCGACAAACCAGGACATGGGTGGTGCTGCAGGTCATCGTAGACTTTTAGATGAATGAGATTTATCCAATTTCTCCAATACCTGTATGGCTGTGTGAATATACTCAGAGAACTGGCCAACTGCCTTGTTGGTGGAGTTGCAGCCAACAGAGGCAGGTAACCCCTGAGTGCACCTCGGCCATGCTGCTTGGTAAAGAATTCAGCTTATGTCATATTAAGTTGTCATAATTTTCTGTTGTATTAATGGATCCTGACCGTATTTTGGGTTTGTAGTTTTAAAGTGTGTTGACTGAGTAGACTTATTCATATATATTTCAACGCCATTGCAGTTCTACTTCATGTGTTTGCAGCTAGATGCTGACTGCATTATTCTGCATAGTGAGACTATACCAGCAGAGAAGCAGAAATTGAATCCACAACAGGGCTTCCACAGCTTACAATTAAAACATTTTCAAGGTCAACAGAGGCTACTAATGAATTGTCTGTTGGACTTTCAGAAGCAGCAAATGTTTTGACGTACTATAGTTTATAGGAAGGCCAATGTCCTAGATTTATGTTCCTACTCTAGTTTTTGTGGCGTAGCTGTTCTGCTGTAGATCATGGCAACCAAGACACTGTGAACCAGTTTTACTTGATGCTACATTTTGCTATTGTTGCGAAACTATTACTGTTTTGAAGATTATTTTTTTTTTTTAAATGCAGAGGCTAAAGAGTTAAATAATTACACCAAAGTGTATTAGTGGATAAAAATCAATTGTGTGGAGAGGTTGTATCTTTTATAACACTAACATACAGTTGGAAAAGCAGAAGAGTATTTGGTTGTCCAAGCCCATCGTAGGCTTTAAGCAGAAGCAACAGACTTAAAGCTACAAGTTGGGAACGACTGCTCTGCATTCAATTTAACAATGTACATCTGTTTCAGGATTTGAAAGAGAAAGTTGGCTGGCCTGAGACCTGTAAGCAGTGGCCACGGTGGTAATAGTCTTCAGCCATTTTGGGACAGGTACCAAGAGACAGGCTATTTTCACTCGGAGAGTAGGAGGGAGTTAGCTGGCAAGGAAACAGGAAGAAATAAATTGTGCCATAAAACTAGTCTCTCTTCTTAAAAATAAGATTTTTAGTATCCAGTGGAACCGTAAATTTTCATTTCTAGACTTCCTCTCTGAAGGTCTTCCTTTTGAGGATCAAGTTTGAGGCATCAGAGGCAGAACGACTCCCACACAAAATTAGGCCACTCGCAGCCAAGCGTGTGTCCGCTATGGATCACGTGCATCTCTTTGGCTGTACATCTTGCTGCTTCAGATTCACCCATGCAAGCACTAGACACTAGATGATTCCCTGAGTTGTATAACCTTCTAGGTCACCTTTGTTGGTTCCAAGGAGCTTCATGGTTTTCTGTTATTGAGGGTGGTATTGAGGGTGGACGGGTTATGTGCTGGCAGATGTTGCGGTTGGTACCCTGTGGTGGTTGGAGTTTGTTTGAGGTGTGCTGGTCTGTGCAAATCTTGCTTGTGATGATGAATCTGAGGAACTGCAGGAAGTATCTTTGGAGGCGATAAAAGTCACTGCAAAATAGATGGTCATCTTGTGCAAATTATAATAGTTCGGTACTTTTTAATATGCATTCTGAAGTAGGATGATGTGTGGCAACAAGGGGCCTCTGCTTGCTTGGAAGGGGTTTTTTTTGGACTACTGTAACTTTGTGTGTGCCACTCAGGTTTCTTCTGAGGAGATACCATCTGCGTCCTCAAAGTGTGTCTTCGCTTGGTGAAGATTGTTTTTATATTGACACAGGAGTTGTCTTGAGTGCTGGTTTTGGAGCAGATGAGGCAGTGTCCAAGGGCCAGTGGTTGTTATGACTGTAGATGTAGCCGTGTTGGTCTGTGGATTCTCCCAAGTATGGCAATTTGTGGGTTGTTTGATACTTGTCATTATACTTCAGAAGCTGATATCAACAGACATGGAGTGAAAATACCGTCTCAGTTTGGATTCCTCTACGAATATTAATTCTCTCTCCAGATTTGGGCACATCATTCAGGCTCTGTTTCTGGTGTTTTTACTGATTAAAGCGGAGATACTTATCTGAAAAGCTTATTGTGATGAGGACAAAATGCTTAGTTTATGTTCATAAAAGAACATTTGAGTGCTCAAAAGAAAATTTTCCAAATGAAAAGCACTGAGTCATTGAACAGTGTTTTATTAAATAGGAGAGGTTTTCTGTGTCTTAATGTTCAGCATTGAGAATTATCCAGCGTTACATATCAATGTCTTTAAAATGTTTTGTATCTGATAGATTGAATATGAGAAGAAGAAGAAAGAAGATGGAAAACGGGCTCGAGCTGATAAACAACAGGTGTTGGACATGCTTTTTTCAGCCTTTGAGAAACATCAGTATTACAACATTAAAGACCTGGTGGACATAACCAAGCAGCCGGTGGTACGTACGAGTAATCCTGTAATATGACCATTTTCGGTAGTTACTGTTATGTATATTTTCCATATCCAGAAAATAGTGTAATATATACTATATGCTTTTGAAACAGCTCTCTAAAGTATGTTTTACAACAAGCAGAAATCATCACTTTTTTTTTCAGACTGTGTAGGATACCAAGCATTGCAGTGAGTATGCTTTTTCTTGACAGAGGTGGTTTAAGTAACCTAAATGGTCTCTTTCTTATTTAGGTTTCCTTTAATACTATAAATCAAATTCTGTAATGCTCAGATGTCTACTATGCTATTCCTGTCCTTATTGAAGTAACAGCCTAGTTCTGTTGCTGTTGACAGTAGAGAGCTTGTGTGAGTGAGTGGTCAGCACTTCCTTCAGCTTCTGAACTTTATCTTGGCATAGCAACAGGGGTTACTCTTTTTCTGTGGGTCTAGAAAATTGTGTTTCATGGAATTAAATGTATGCATTATCCATGTCAGGAGCTCAGGCATCATGTCAACACCCCCAAAATCACTTGATTTCCCTTATGGACCCTAACTTTCCTGTTCTTTCCCTTCTTCCCCTGCTGAAGCGTTCTTTGAGCAGACTAGACAGGAGCGTGGGGAGACAATGATATGTGAAGTATCTTTGGTGCTTTTGATGTTTTTCACTGCTGACTTCGATATCTATCCTCAACCCAGCTGCAGTTTTCAGAAAACTTAAAGGGACTTAATTATGAGTCTAAATGGAGCAACAGGAAGGCAGAAGAAGGAACAGTGACAGCTGGATTATGGAAAAAATTATTCCTTTGTAAAAGAGGGGAAAAATGGAGATACAAATTTTCTCACTTCATGTTTAGAATTAAGTGGATCTGTATTGGAGGATTTATATAAGGTGCACGATCTGGTTAAGAAGCTGCACAAAGATGTTATCCAATTCAAATGCATGTAGACTCACGGTGTTCTAGCACCTTGGAAGAAGCTAGCTGGATAATACATTTGTGTTTTCTGTTCCATTCATTAATCTAATGAGTCAACTCCTTATTTGTGTGGCAGAGAAGGTGTGTGGATCATGGGAGCTGAGAAGCAGGAAGGAATAGGAGGAAGATATGGAAGGAGTAGCAAGAACATTTTAAGATTTTTTTGGGGGGGAGGTGGTAAGAGATAGATGTGACAGTCACTATCTCAATCGCTTTGAATGTAAGTAGGTGCAGATTTATCCCGTCTAGCATGACTTCAGCTAGAAATAGTCACCACTGAAGAAATAGTCCCACTGAAGCCATGGGAGAACCGAAGTTTTCTTCCTCCTGTGTTGTGATTTACCCCTTGAATGTACCTGTCCACATCAGCTCCAAGGGGTCTGGAAGAGCTGTGCTTCTGACACAAGTTTCTTCATTAAGCACCAAAAGCTGGGCAAGATTAATCCCATTTTTGTCCTAGTCACTGCCCTAAGGATTAGATGTCTAGAGCAAAATGCCTCAGAGGAATATTTCTATTCCATTTATGATGAATTTCTGTGCTTGTCTATGTATCTCTGCTGTCATCATAATGCTCCTGAATGTATTCTACCTGTAGCATAGTAGATCTGTGCTGCGTACTTCCATCTCAGCAGATCTAACCTTTATTTTTTCAACTATTGCAATAATACAGATATGCTGAAAGGAAATTGTAGACCAATTTGAACCAACATCACGTGGTATTTGGGCTATACTTATTTGCTTCTTATTTGAGTCTCACTACTGATGACTAAAAGTCCCGTAGGGCTCCTGAGATTAATCAAACCGTTCAACCTTCTTCCCCTGAGTGGGCTGTGTGGTCTGAGTTCCAGGCTGTGTGCCAGAGTTAGGGGTTTCATGTTCATTCCTAGCCGGAGTTTAGCCACAGGTGTTGGTGCCCTTGCAGCTTCCTCAGACCCAGATATCCTGAGAAAATAAATGACCAAAATTCTCTTCCTGAAGCCTTTCTTCATTCCCTGGGTAGCCAGTATGGTGATAAACTCAAAGCTATCTTTCAGTACGCCAACTACCCCTCATCTAAAGCTATCCTAATTTTCCATCTGGGTTCCCATTGCAAACTTCTATAGGGAGTTGCTACCAGCATCCATTTCCCTGTAAAAATACTAGCCCTTGGTTCCTGCTGCTCAGCCAGTGTATCTGTTCCCAATGCCCACTGTGACTTTATTGTTCGCAGAGCAGCTATACCCAATAAAAAAAAAGCTAAAATGCCAACAGGTGAATAGGCATGCTTTCCCCATGCTGTACAGCAATTGGCTGCTAATTAATCTCTGCTGAGTGTTCACTGCTTCATTTTCTGTCATAGTGTCCAGATTGTCTGGGTATGTAATTTCTCCTCTGAGTTTCTAAATGTTGAGGATATTTTCAGATGTGAGGGAAGAAATGCTGTTGCTGCTGTCTCCTCAGCTCCCGTTAAAATGAAGTTTTAGCTGCTTACATCACTGGCTGATAATATTTAAAACATGTTTGTCTAAGGGAATTAACATCTTAGTGAAGTAACAAATACATAAGGATATTTTTCTCACATAATAGTAAATGTAAATAGTAAATTAAACCCTTGCCACAGAATATGTTGCATGTTACATGGGAAATTGCTGCCATCTTTATTTTGCGATTGTGAAATCACAAAGCAAGTCTGTTCTGAACACAAACTACTGTTGTATCAGGGAAGCCTGGGTTTATTTGTTTTCCTTTTTAATGAAAAATAACAATTTGCAGTAGTAGGGAAATCTATTGCCACCTACCCAGATGTAAATACTGAGTGTTCCGTGGAAATACTGCAGTAATTCTAGATTTGGACTTCATGGCTGAGAATATAATACACTTTTTATGTGAGCAATCAAATATTTGTGAAGAATGGAACCAGTATGGAACCAGTAGTCTAATATGAACTGTAAGTTTTCAAAATGGGGTAGACTGTTTGCAGTTTTTTCTTTTATTTCAGCTTTAAGTAATGGTTATCTTAAATATAGTGGGGGAAGATGGTGTTCCCCTCAGAGTTTCAGAAGGGTTTTGAGAGCTTGAAAGTTAACTCCTCTCTCAGAAAGTTTTATGCCATAATTCTATAATAACATTTCACTTTTTATGGAAAAAATAACGAGGGAAGGCGTAACAGAGCAGAGGATGCCTTCAATGTACAAGTATATAAAAATACTGAATCCCTTTCTGAGACGAAATTGCGGGCCCCTATTTAGCACTCACCAAGCTCTAAAATTCAGTATCTGGTATCACCGGAGGAGGTGTGGGGGGAGTTTTCTTGGTGACACAGAACCAGACTGAGCAGCATGCTTCAAGGTGTATAGGCCAGCCCAGCACAGCGCGGGCCCGGGTGGAGGGTCCTGGCTTCTGGAAGGGATCCGGCAGAAAAAGTCATAACACTCCCTGAACTCCTCCATCCAACTTGCTCTCAAGTACGGTACAGTGCAGCAGGATTACCCCTGATCTGTGATTGTCTAAATGCTCCAACAGCTCAGCATTGTCTCTGCACGCAGAGTGATTTTTTGGGGGTTAACACTCTCAGCTGCCCTCCTTAAAACCAGCGCTGCTTGTTTCCCCCTGCAGCAGAGGTGGCAAACAGGAATATGTTGCAAATAGTTCGCGGTCTCAGCTTGAAGTGCTTTTTATTGTGACCCAGACATTACCTCACTATTCAGTTCGGGTTGGTTTTATTCCGTTTTGTTACGCCGTTGAATCAAAACTCCTGGAAGTTTTGCCCAGAGAGAAGCAGAGCTGCCTGGGGAACTGGGTCTGAAAACTAGCTGAAATTAAAAGTAACCTTCGTTTCACTGGGCGGGTGGTTTGGAGGCCGACGTGAGCAAGCAGTGAGCGGTGAGAACTGCCTCGTGGTCAATGTCACCCAAAGACGCCGCCACCGAACAGCAGCGAAGCCGCGGCCGTTCCGTGCTGCCCGAGCCCTGCAGCATCGCCACGCCTGCGACCTGGCTTCCCAGACACAGGCTAGGTCTCTCAGCCCAGGAACTGCATGTGGATGTACTTCGCGGGACTAAGTGCAGTCACATGTTTTTCCCAGTTCTCATTCAGCCCACCGTGTGGTCTAGAGCAGAATTTAACCTTGAAATCTGAGTGTTTCTTCCGCCCACTCTGCCATCTTTCGAAGTGTCTGTCAGTGACACTACTGAAAGCCACCTCGTGTGCAGGCACGAGGATTGCAGAAAAGCAGTGGGTATGCAAGCATGCACATCTACACATACCCACTGTGGAAAAAAGCTATTTTCACCTGCTTTCATCACCTGTTAAAAAATGCATTGTGCAACAGCAGTGTCGTCATGCAAAAACGTTTGCGCGCTAATTGTAGTGAGAACATTTGTCGTAGGTAGCCTCCCTCTCAGATAACGAGAGCACCTCTGCAGCAGATAAGCTGTGGAAAGGTGTGCTAAGGGCTGTGCACCGATCTCCTGCTGCCACCTGCTGGGGTTTGCATCGTGCACCCTCAAAAACTGAAGAGGGGTGCAAGGTGAACTCCCTGCTCCCGGCTCCCACCCGCAGCTGCTCTGCTCGAAGACAAGACCCGAAGGAACGAGTTTGTTTACGCAGTCTGTCACAGTCATCTTTCTTACTTCTTGGTCAAACACCCCTCCTTGCCTTGAGATAGGTTTTTAAGAGTAATTTTGCTACGTGAGTCCAAGTGAAGTACTGTCATTAGTGTGGGATCTGGCTTTTTTTTGCCTCGTAAGTTTTTGATGTATACCTGGCGAGAGAGCGTAATGATCGGTTTCTCTAAAAGAGACTTTTTGCACTGACTGAGAACATACTTTTTATTTATTTCCCAACTTTTAGCAAAAAATGGGAAGAGTGTAAGGAAGAGACTGGGCAATTGGCCTTTCTGATTTTCCCAATACTTCCTTTTTTTTAAATGAGGTGAAGTACGTTGATATTTGCGCTTGGTGGAACTGTAGATACAGAAAATACGAGGGTTCCAGTAACTCCAGTTCAATATATGCACTCAAAGAGGATTAAATTGTTCAGACGAAAGCAACTGTGAATTTAATGTGGGGATTCTTAAACTGTGGTCTGTGGTTGCCATGGCAATCCACTCAAGTCAGTCCCGATTAATATTTAAACAAACAAGCAGGCAAACGGCTCTTTAAAAAAAAATGAAACAAATTACTGGTGTTTTATTATAAAGAATAAAGGAGGATATTTGTGAGTAAAGGATATGATGCTAGTGAGCTGAGCTGTGTCAAAGATTATACTACTGGTATCATAGCTTTGCCTGGTTCTTTGAAATTTCTCCTCCTAGCCTTAATATTTGAATGTATTAGAAAATCCTCTGGCACCTACCCAGCTCTCCCCTGAAAATGAGGCCATAATAAAACGCTTAAAGCTTTGCAAAATGGCACGAAAGCCAACAGCTCGGGGCTTTGGCGGGGCCTGAATAAGGCAGGGAGTTTCAAGACAATCCCGGCCCAAGCAAGATGAGCAGCCACGAGCTTTTAGCTCGGGTGGAGAAATTCCAGCGGAAGGAAGACGCGCGAGGGAGCCTGGGCACCGCCTTCCCGGCGGAGATGCTGGGCGCTGCGTTTCGGCAGCCCGTGGAGCATCCCTCTAGCTGGGACCTGCCCCTCCGCACCCCCGGGGCTCGGCCGGGGGGGGGACCTTACACCCGGGCAGCTCTAATCCCCCTCGGTGCCCGGGGGGGCTGAAGTCTGTCACGGAGTCATTATCGCACAGGTCAGCGCCGATCAGGCGGCCTTGCTGTCCACTGGCCTGTTTATACGGACCGAGCTGACGCGACTGAGCAGATCCTTGAGACGTTGTCTAGGAACCGTAGCGCTCGCCTGCCTGTATAATTTGAATTTTTTGTTTCCTTTCAGATATACCTGAAAGAAATTTTAAGAGAAATAGGCATCTACAACGTGAAGGGGACCCACAAAAACACATGGGAGCTGAAGCCAGAATACAGACATTACCAAGGAGAAGACAAGAGTGATTAACCGAGGTGTTTACCAAGCGAGAGAGAATTAGAGTGATTGCACTGAGGGAGCCGTGGTGGGTTTACAGATAGGACTGAGCACAGCGCAATTCTGCAAGGCTAGAGATAAATTAAAGCAGCTGATACTTTGTAATTTTCTGTAGCTTCATTTTTTTTTTTTTCCAAGGAATATCTCTTGTATGTTTCTATAAGCGTTTTGTCTTTTGACAGGAAAAAAAAATATTTATAGAATAAACTTGTATTAGATTCATCTTTATTAGAAATCTTTTGAGTTCTGACCTTACTTATGCTTGGTAGCTTTGTGGCTTTTCCAAGCCTCGATGACTTTGAAGGAAAATGTGTCCTAGAGGAACGTGTAACTTTGTGGTTTTGCATTCCAATGGAACCAGGTTAATACCCGTGCTCCTGCTGGGATCTGTCAGGGCTTCGTCTGGAAGGCTGCAGAGGTACACAACCCTTCCTGCAGTGTTTGGGTGGAATGGACATGGTGCTTCTTTTGGGATCAGGCTTTAGGAATAACAGCCACAACCACGGTGCTCATGACAGTCCTTAGAATCCATGGGAACAAATCAACCCAGTTAAAAACCCATCAAGCAAAGGCTGTTTGATATACAGCTCCGTGGGAAGACAAAAATCCCCTCCAGGTGATTACTGAGAAAAAAAATGAAATGTCTGTCTATTAGGTACATCAAGGAATAGAATTATCTTTTGTTTTGGTTTGTTTTTTTTTTTTTCTAATGATGTCACCTATGTTTTATGTTTAAGCATATCAATAAAAGTGTTATTTTAATTTGTACCATGCGATGTTCTACATTATTGACTGAACACACATTGTGATTTAGATAGCATAGGTATGAAAGTTTCTTTTAAACCGTGTTTTTATTCCTGGCTTTGCCCCTGGGTTTCTCTGTGTTTTGGGGAAGATTGCTTAATGTATCTGTGTCTCTGTTCCACCATTTCTGAAATGCACATTGCACGGGTTGTCTATTCAGCATCCTTTTTGGGATGGAGATGGGACAGGACTATTTAATTGTATTTTGAAAGCTTTTATGTTCAAAAAATAGCAGAGAAAACACGGTGGAAGAACTTCATTAATATACCTGTAAATGAAGCAGAAGGTGAGGTTTTATAGCACAACTTTCACATTACCTCAGGTCCTTCCGCTTTGCGCATCTCTTCTGCACAGGCTAATAAAATATCAGGTCTGTGTGAAAAGCAAGCGTTCCATTGTTGGTCCACTTGGAAACAGTGGAAGGTCCAGAGGACGGTCAGGTGCCTTAGGGGGTTTGTAAAACAACTCTGACCCCTTAAGCATCATTCCCACCTTTTAATTGTGCTCAGTTCGTTTTGTCTAGAATTGTTTGTGTAGGTGTCTCTCTACAGATACGCTCCCTGCTGGTGCTCAGCTTTCCATGGCGTGAACTGCCCAGTGCCTAGGAGGTGGACTATAGGAGGTAAATTACTGGGAGTTTTTGAGGAGATCGTGTTCCAGGGGTATGTGTGTGCTTTCATAAATACTGCCGTCGGCTCCTGTCTCCTCAGGCTTCTGCGAGCAGGGCCCAGCTTGCTGATGGCTGCGGGAGACGCCTGAGGATGCCGAGAGGAACCCGGGAGGTCACCCTGTGTGTCTTGCTACTCCCCAGCAACACCCAGAGCCTGCAGACACCGCCGTCCTCCTCCTCATGCTCTTCGAGTCCTCCAGACTTGTGTTCACAGCCACGCAGGATGAGAACTCTTTGCTTTTCACGAGCTGGGCTCCTCCGTCGGATTCACGTCCTGTTTGAGCAACTAAGGTACCTGGAAAGTCTGGGTCGGCTTCTCCCTTGTGTCCCTCACGTGGTCTTCTAAAACCGTGCAGGGGAGTGCCGTGCGATCCTGATTTAGCAGCGCTGTAATTCAGTGCCACGAGTGAAAACGACCGTGCGGTGTCAGAGGGAAAAAGGGGGATCCCTTCCTTGAGTGGGATCCCCAGCAGGATTAGCTTAGCGGGAAGGTATTTTGGATCTGCTTGTATTTTTGGCTTTATGCGAGTTTACTGCTTCACAATTTGTCTTCAGTTGGGAGAGACATAATCAGCGTGAAATGCCAAGAGATTTAAGTAAAGTAGGTGTTTTATTGATCTACCGAGTGCCTTTGGACAGGGTAAATAGTCTGTACTTAGAAGTAATAGAAAGTATGCAGAACACTCTGGTTTTTTATGGGTTTTATGGTTTTTACAAAAGACTGATTTTTTTTTTTTTTATAGGCATCATGAAAAACGTGGAGGGTGCTAGAAGTAAATGAGCAGTGGAGCTTTCAACCAACGAGCAACAGAAAGGTTGAGGAAAGCCAAGGTGCTTTGCTTCACCTGCAGCCTTCTCTGAAGTAGCACCAGGTAAAATGGGGAATGGGACAGTGAGGAAACTCCATTCAAAAAAAAAACGGAACCAGGAAATGGGACTGGGAAATGCTATGCCAGGATAAACAAAGAAAATACATCCAGTGGACAGTCCAGAAGCCAGGCAGCTCACGAAGTACTTTTTTACCTGCTTCCTGCAGGACGCTGAAGGCTTTCTAGCTTGTTGGGCTGCAACTGGAATTTTAGCCCCAAGAGCAGCCACCGAATCCCCGTGGCCTAAGAGGTGGGCACAACGAGCCCACAGGGGAACTGACCAGCGGGATGAAAGATGCTCTCCTGTGCCATGCATGCAAGGACTCTGCATGCAGGGACTCTGCTGGCTCCTGCCCGGCGGGAGCGCGCGGTAAAGACGGAGGTGGAGTTGTTAGGTGCTGTTGGCAGGTCCAGCCTGCAGCCAAGCCCCGGGGTCTTGCAGCACGCCCCTCTCTCGAGACAGAAGCAGGCAGGTAGGCACGCTGCTACAGGTCCCACATTCTCCCTTCTGCAGCAATTCAAGGCACTGGTCTGACTTCATGAGAGGCTGCAGTAAGGATTTAGCGTTTGGGGCGCGCTCGTTCGGACCCAGCAGGTAATAACCAGCAAAAACTCTCTGCTCTGGTTGTTCTGCAGGGGGCCCGTACGCGAGTGCTGTTAGCAGGAGTGCTGCCTGCTGAAAGAGAAGGAGGCTCGTAGGCATTCAGGTCCGATTCCCTGGCCCCCATGTTTGGATTAATTTAAACTCTGAACTCAGAGCGGTGATGAACGCCCGATTCCCCGCTGGTCTTCCCATGTCTGTGCTCGCTGCTGAACTCCGCTCGTGCGGATGTTCTCGGATGTCAGTGGGCAAAACATTGGCCCACAAGTGGGTCCCATAGGCACGAGCAGAACGCCCTTAACTGAGATGAAAAGCGTGGCTCCACTAGCGTGACTTCTCCCAAACGACCAGTTCTTTGAGTCATCAAAGATTTCATACTCACTAAACCCAGCTGGTACCAGCAACCACCCAGATGTCAGGCAACAGTGATGCAGCTGCCCCAGTAGCCACATCCCCGTGCCCACGGGATGGGAATGGGTGAGAAGGTGCGAGCCTGGAAACTGCCGCTGCTCCGTAGGGAAAGGGGGATGGATTAAAACCCAGCGTGGGACAGGCTGGTCCCTGTCGCTCCCCCACTTCCCTCCCCGCCGGCTCACAGCTCTAAACATCAGCCTGCCCCCCTCCGCAGCCAGCCCGGAGGCTGCCGGGGGGACAGGCAGGGCTGGATGAAGCACGGGAGAAGAAAACACCCGGCGTGAATATCAGCACCACGACGTCTCTGACGCGGAGCTCGGAGTGGGATCGGAGCTCGCTGGCTGCTGTGATGCCCGTGGCTGCTCCTGAGAAGCTGTCCACGCTGTGGATTGTCTTCACCAGCCGCTTGGGCTTGGCTCCAGCTTGAACCTACCTCCCGCGTGTGTCAGCTATTCCCACCCACATTCACCTGTCCCTGGCGCCAGGATGGGGTTTTCATTAGTCACTGTATTTATTGACTCTAACAAATCGGGTTTTTTTTCTCGCTAATGCAGTATCAGAGCTGAGCAGCTGCTCCAGGCTCACCTGGGAGAGAGCTCTGCTGCTGGAGATTTTCGGAGAGCTGTGGCTGGGTACACCCTGCCCTGTTCCTCATGCCAGTGGCAGGACAACTCTTTTTCTTGACGCTCCTAACCATGAGTCTGTTTGGCTACCAGGCTGCAGGGTCAGCTTTTCTCAGGGAGTGTTTAATTATTCGTACAAGAACGACAAACTCCAACAGGGAAGATCAAAAAAACAAAAAAACAAAAAAACAAAAAAAAAAAACAAAAAAACAAACAAACAAAAAAAAAAAACCAAACAGAAGACCCTTTCCAGAACCGCTCAGCACCCAGTGCTGCAGTAGGTGTCTTAAGGTTCACGTCTCCTGTCTGGCCCGACAAGGTCAAACTCTTACACTTTCAGCTCTCTTCAAACTCAAAACATTTTTGAGTTCGTGGCACTTTAGAATAAGGAATTGATAAATACCTTTAGGATGGGAAACGTGGGGCACCTGTAAGCCAGAGGGGTCAGCGAATGTAGGTGCCATGGAGCATCCCTTCAGCCAACTGCACCCAGGGGATTGTGTGACGAGTGAGATTTGAGCACCAGCGGCTGAACTGACAAGCTCCCCTGCTCTGCCCAGCTCAGCAAACCTCAGCACCAGGAGCTGCTTGGTACTGGTCTTGGGAGGAGCACAGCCACAAGTGGATCCCTTGGAGAAGCGCAGCCAGCCGAGAGGGGCTTCCTGCTCCTCTCGGTGTTACACAGGGCTTTGGGCTTTTGCAGCCAGTATGTTTGCAGCTACAGGCAAATAAATAGAAGGGGGAAGCTGAAGTATTTGGTTGAAAGGAAAAGAACGGCCATTTCTTTTCCCTTCTACTCCATTTAACCAGTTTACCTCTGGAGCTCCTTCATGAGAGCGGGATTTCCGTGGGGACCTGAGCACCTCCAGGAGGCAGAGAAGGCTTTCAGCAGCTGTGAGGTAACCGAGTACCAACCACCAGAGGAACAGGCAAGGCTTGATTAAAAGCAACTAAGGAAACAAGACATTCCGCAGCCACCTGAGTCTACTCCCACACCCATCCAGTTGCCCCCACCAGTGTGGTGGGAGGGTTGATAGCACTGGGGGAGGGAAATGAGACCAACATTCCCTGGGCTTCACATGTCTAATTTAAGATCTGGGTTGGGTTTTTTTGTTTTGTTGTTTGTTTTTTTTCCGGAGAGGTTCACATAAAACCCAGCATGGATTCCTGAAAGGCCTCCCTCCACCACCCAGTCAAGCCCAGCCTTGGGAAGAGGCACAGTCCTGCAGTGGGAGCAAGCAGCAAGGGCTGTGTCCGTGGGGGATCCACCAGCCCAGACACCCCCAGCCACGGGATCTTCCTCCTGTGTGTCCTTCCCCAAGCTGCCCGGCCCACAGTAAGCAAGGCAGCCATGAACACAAAACCCTTTTACTTGTAGGCAGCTGCTATCTTGCCTTTTCAGCTTAAAAACCAGGTGGGTTTACGGGGGGTCAGAGCCCTCTTAGCTCCCCCACACTAGGTGAACAGGACAGTAATTGCTGCCAGGAGGTGGCTGCTGGGCCAGGGCAGCCAAAGTTGATGGGTGAAGGTCTACACCAGCCCCCTTAAACACTTTTTTTTTTTTTTTTTTTTTTTTTTGTGGGCAACTTGATGAAGCACCAGCAGCTGCAGGTAGTTTTATGGCCACAGACCACAGCAACGACACAGCTACAGGAGGCTGAGAAATCATCCCTCCCTGCCTCAACTGGAGGGGCTGAAGGTGCCCAGACACAGCTGGAGGTAGAAGAGCTGAACCTCAGCCCTTGAACAAGAGTATTCCAGGAGCAAGTGGGGTTTTGCTAGCTGAGCATCCACAGTGAGCAGGGAGGGAGCATCCAGCTCTACAGGATCTTGACTGTTACAAAGAATTTGGGAAGCTAATCCTTTTTGGACATTTTCTACAAAAGAAAAAACAAAACCAGCCTCAATTGCTTTGGCAGGGCTGCCAGCATGCCTGAGCTTTGCTGGGGATGGGAGGAAAGGGGACTGCTCTCTGCAATGCCAGCAGTGCTTCCTCCCACCACTGCTGGTCACAGGCAGGGAGGTGAAACCCAGCTGTTGGCTCCCAGGATAAAGGGAGGGCTTACAGAGAAGCCATTGCTCATAATTTTTCTCACCACATTCAGCTGCCGCCTCATTGGCAAGGTTGGTATGACACCTGGGTAGTCTAAAAAGTCCTCCTAGGGTGTTTGGCTCCTTTCTGCCAGAAGTGGAAGGGGATGAATGCAGCTCTAATGGCTCGAAACACCCAGCAGCTACGCAAATCTTCACCAACATCCTGCCAGACTCCTGCAGAACACGCTTCCAGGGTTACCAGCATTTGCTGGCACAAAAAAAAAAAAAAAAAAAAAAAAAAGTTCCTCCAGCCTTGGCTACAGCCACTTGCCTGTGATCTTTGCACAACAGCTTCCAGCTGTGGCTTCAACCAAAAAGGCATAGGGACCACAAGCCAGCGCGGTTGCGCTCCTGGCAATGGATTTTGGGCTGTTTATGGCAAAGTCTTTCAGGCTTGGCTAGGTTTTTGTTCCTCCTACCAAGACGATGATCTCTGAGCCAAAGGAAAATGGTGTTTAACTGCTGCTCTCCCGCTGTGGGCTAGCAGCGACATGGAGATTTACTTGGCGGCTGGCTCAGGGTGAAACATCCCAGTTGACAACAGCAGCCACACTCCAGGGACGCGGCTGCAGAGCTGAAGCCCAGCCAGAGGCCCGCAGAAATGGAGGGAGACATCTTACCTGCCCCAAGCCAACAGCAGCATGTGAGAAAGCAGAGGTATATCTTGATGCAGGTGCTATTGCTGGTTAATAAAGGCATCCTCCCTAGACAGCTGTCACTAAAACCACTGCCAGGACTGCAGCAGGCTGGCCTGAGCCAGCTCAACAGTTAAGACTTTCGAAGGGAAGGAAGCAAGTTGCAGCTTTTATTTTTTTTCCCGACGTTTAAAAAAATAAAAATCCAATTTCACTTCTCTGCTAGCAACCACGTCCTAAGCTTACGGCAAGTCTCTCCTGGCCTTTAGCTAAACCATGTGAGAAAACAAATAACAAACAAAACATGCTACATCCATTCCTGTAAAGCTTTCCCCTTGCGGGTTCTCCCTCCTTGTGCCAAAGCTGAGTGCTGCACAAGGCTCCAGGACCGTTGCCCACCCGGGCTCCAGCAGCCACCCCCTGCCCGTGCTAAGTGGGCCAAGCAAAGGGATGGAGCCAGGCTGGTTCAGCTGGGTATTATCTAAGAGGGGAGGCACTAGGGGTACCTGGCTCCCCGTGGCCCCACCAGCACCTCTCCCAGCACACCAGATGTTCCCTCTGCTGCACAAACACCCCCCCAACCCGCGCCCTTTCTCAGAGCAGCTAAGGAGCAACAAGTCACTGCAGCAGCAGTTAACAGCAGGGGCACTGGCCTGCAGGAGGTGGGATTTTTATTTTTTAATTTTTTTTTTTTTTTTTGCCAGCGCTTGGCTGAACCCCTGCACACAGGCCGTGGGCTAGAGACGCTGCGGGGAGGCTTCAAGAAGACAGAATGGATTTGTAGACAGGGCAAGACCCAGCCGGGACAGCAAGTGGGAGACAAGGAGCAGGCATTGAGGGGGGAGCGGTGGGGCGGGAAGGCGAAAGGCCAAAGGGACCGAGAGACACGTGCCCAGCAGAGTGGCTGCTTCTGCCAACCCCAAGACATCACTCCCTTGACCACAAAAGTACAGCACTAAAAAGGGAGGGGTTTTCTGCTCTTTATAAGCAAACAGCCTTCCTTCCCCTGCCAGCAGCCAGCTCACGGTGGGTACAGGAGCAGCCTCCAGGCCCCTCATGGGGGCTGAGGCCCAAGCCCACAGAGGAAAGGTTCCTACCCAACTGCTTAACCCACTCAGCTCAGGGGAAAAGCTATTTGGATCCTTCCCAGCTTCGCAGGCCTTCCAGCCACAGAACGTATCTTCCCAGGAATGTAAGACAGAATCCTGACAAACGCATTTTAAGACAAGGTGGGGAGATAGGTTTTAAAGCTGTCCTTCAGTTTGGGCTGTGTTCGAGCAGCACTGGGGTCATTTGTTATGATGGGGAATTTTTTTTTATCAGCTTAGTAAACACAAAGCTGTAGCATTACAGCAACGTGAAGCCTTGCCTTCCCCGCTCACTTTAGCTTTTCAGCCCTGGAAAACAGCTGCCTGAAATGAAAGGGGGCCAGAAGAGGAGGGATTGGGTTATGAGGAAGTACAGACTTCCTTTCCGACCGTTTCACTGACCATCCAACTCAAGAGTCGCATCGCAGACTGCTGCCAAGCGCACTGACCAGCCCCAGGCCCCCCACGTCACAGCACTCCCCGACACAAGGAGCCACATCCTGACTTTCCCTCGCCCTGCCTCCTCTGCCAGTAGCTACCACAGCAGCGCAGCTGAGGCCACTGCTTGTCACCACCAGCCCTCCCCTGGCCCCGAGTGTGATTTAACCTCCCCTCCCGGCTGCCTGGCAGGTTTGACACCGCCGAGCGGCAAGACTTGATCTTTTCCCTGAGAAATTGAAGGCAGCAACGCGTTTTGGGGAAGCCCGGTGCAACCCGCAGCAGAAAACACTTCTCTTGCAGGTTGCAGGAGAGAGGAGCAGAACAAAATCCTGTGTCTCAAGAGACTTTGAACCGACACTTTCCTACAACAGGCTGAAGGGAGATTTGTTCCCATCAGAGGCTCTGCCATACAGAAAAGCACGATAGGAGCTAGGAGCGCGTAACTCACTAGTTAGGCATGTTTGCACACACCAATTAAATATCCCAATTAGCCTGGAGTACAGACAGGATGGCACGCCATTTGCCTTAAGCAATTCAACCCAACAGCAAGGCTGTGCTCAGCATGGTTTTAAGCACCTGCTTTTCAAAGCGGCACCTCCTCACTCGCAGGCAGCTGCCACAGCAGTTTGCTCCAGGCTTGTGGCCAGGGTTCCCAGCCTCATCCCAAGTAGCCAGGCAGGGGGGAAAAAGCAGTTTTCACTCCCACATACCAGCTCGGCTCAGTTTTAAACACTTTTGACTCACTGGCAGTGGAAGGGCAGGGGTATTTGGAGCTGCACAAGCAGATCAGGGACTGCATGGCCGTGCAAGCACTGCCCTGCCCACACTAACCTTACTCCACTGAGCAGCAAAAGTCTCAAACTTAAGTCCTGACTCTCCCCTTCCTTCCAGGCTCCCAGGTTTTAACAAAGATGCAACAGGAAAAGGCAAGAGAACATCCTCACCTGGATCCATTAAACAAATCCTCTGCAAGGAAAGCAAGAGCTGGCTCAGAGTGATTTAATTTAGGCACTGAACCTGCCTCCTTGCCTCTCAGCCCTGTTGGGTGAAGGCACAGGAGCATTAATTTACATTGCTGAAATTACACCAAAATCCTATCTCAGCCAGAAGCACAGCTGGCCTAAGACCCTTTCTTGGGAAAGCCAAAAAAACACCAGATATGTAAACGAAGATCCATAAAACTAAAATTGGGTGTGTTTAAAGCAGACAGAAACCTCCGAGATAACTAGGGCACACTCCGCTCCCAGCCAGCCACCACATCTATCTCACCCCTGCAGAAACCTACCTCCAGCTCAGCCCTCCGGCACCAGGGGCCAAAAACTGACACAAGACAAAGATGCCAAAACTCTGGGGGCCTGAGGCCTCACAGATCAACAGCTGGCAAGTGGAGTCCTGCCCTCCCCTTTCAGGCGAGACCCCTGGCCTCACCGCAGTAGGAAATATAAGCGTTAAATGATTTGCAGTCCAAGGCAACATCCCTGGTCAGGCACACACGAGTCACGATGTCAGCTGTGACTTGAGCCCCTTTGCCCCAGCCGGGGGGCTCTGCGAAGGCGTTTGTGCTCCTTTATTCAATCCAGACTGCCACGAGGTCAGACAGGTAGAAAGCGCAAGGAACCTGTTACTGTCGCATCTCAGCAAGAACCAGAGAAGCAACGGCCGTTTGCTCCAGGTCTGTCAGATGCATTTCCTAACCAGGAACAGGAAGTTTTACCCCCGTTAAGTCTCGAGCCCAGGCACGCACCTGCTTTGTAATAAGCCCAGGACAGGGCTAGGCCATCCTGACATTTCTCTCCAAGAAATACCGAACGCCCCAAAGTCCTGCAGCTTGACCGAGTTCTAGCTAATCTGCTCCTAAACAGCTGTCGAATACAAAGGAGCTAGAACTGCGGCCAGATCTTGGCAAACCCAGCAAATTCACTCTCCCCAGTACCTGGGCTCAGTGCTGGTGTTAAAGACTCCGGCTCCATCCATCCTACCTTGATCTTGAAGTCACACTACAACCGAGGAGGCTCAGCTATCCTCATCTGAAAAGAAGCTCAGCTAGCACTCGAGTAACACATTCTGTTTGTTTTATTGTTTTTGTTTGTTTTTTTTTTTTTTTTTAAAATTAACCTTGATATCTCTTCTAGAGAGGTCTCTATGCAATCATGGAAGGTGGTCCACACTCCATTACGATGACATTTCTTGGGCTTTTGACCTCAGCCTGCTCTTGCACTCCAATGCCACAGGTAGAAACTGTGTGAAGTCTGGAAACGGTCAAGTTGCAGTGCGCTAGGGCCAGGCTGTACTACTGACAGTTTCAAATCCTCAGACAAACACCTTGCTGCAACCTTTCCTGTAAGTCGCCCTAAGAAACACACTAGACCAAGAGGCATCACCTAGAATGGGTTTAAATGAGTTTTATTTTAGACAACCTACATGACAGATGTTTGGTTTTCTTTTTTTAAAACAATGCCTCCACTCCAAATCAGGGTCAAAATAAGTGAATAAAGCTCAACATGACATCAGTCCGGTTGTTAGACATTGCCAATTCCTGGTGTTGTGCCGATGAAGAAGAAACAGCAGCCAGCTATGAAGACAGGTGATCCAAAAACCATACTGTTTGATTTGTTACTGAAACAAGAGTAGCAAGTGTTGTGTTAGTCCGAGGTCACGACAGTCACAGTAAGTTTCTATAACTTCTTTGTGTATTCCTTAATTCAATCTGAGCTGCCACAAGCAGGCAGGCAGAAAGCGCAAGGAAGTTATTTTTGCATCTTAGTGCAAACCAGAGAGCAACAGGGAAAGTGCTCATGGTCTATCAAAGGATGCTGATCATTTTTACGATTATATAGAGCAACTGGCATCAGCTGCTGAGCAAGCCAGACAGGATGCTCGTTCACACCCTTTTTGCTTGACGCAACAAGTTTCAAATTTCCTCTCAAATAAGAGCATGTTCTCAACAAGTACTAAAGCTGACCCCACATGTGCTGTCTCTTACAGGAGCTGTACCAAAAAGTTGGAACAGGTTTTTTTTTTTTGCCCACTGGAATGCCCTGCTACTATTCTTTCACTCCATCTTGAAGCAGATGGAGTTACCCCAATTAGATGTCCAAAAGGTCTACCCAAGCAGGGGAGATGCACACAAGCTTCTGCTCCGAGGAGGTACCTTCCAGGTGAGCGCCTGTTCTAGGGCCCAGGACAGGCTGCAGGAGGGTGCTGCATCTATTTTGGCCAATAAAAGCATTCCTTTACTTGGGCTACTGCTCCACACTAGAAGCTGGTTCATCTTTACAGGACTTGCATACCAGAAAGCCCGTACGAGGCTTCACAGATAAATTTAGCTGTCTAAAAAAAGACTTCATATGTCCACAACGACTGGGCAAAGCAATTGGTGATCCCACACTTCTAGTCCGCAGTGAATTCCACAGATCTCCAAATAATCCAAAAAAAAAAAAATGCAAGCAATAGGATCCAAATACTGTTTCATTGCAACCACATTCCACCACAGACCACAGGAGCTGTCGCAGCTCAGGCAACTGGATAATCCAGACAGAATAAGGTTAAGTACTCGGTCAAGTATTACCATGTTCCCAAATTTAGGGCAATATTTAAACAGACAGTTCTTGCCTAGCAAACTAAGAGCATCAGATTAAGTGAAAGAAGATGGAGCATGACCATGTAAGGTACTTCAGCATTAACCCCCCCCCCCCAAGAGGGATGCAAAGTAGAAGTGCTCCATTTCAGAGGATATTGTCTTTAATAGTTTTAAACCATTACTGATTAGACACATCTCACCAAGGCAATTCTTCCTGCATTTCTTAGTCATGAAGTCACCATGAATCATTGCAGTGAAACTCTGTCCCTTTTTAGTATAATTGAATAGTACACTAAGGAAGTTTCAGCTACTTGGTATAATATGAAGCAGCAATTAGGCTGTACTTACATGAACTTTATGTTTTTTAACTGGCAGCTAATGTTCAACTTTTAACAGGGATACAACAGAACAAGCCAAGTGTTGAAATAGATAATCATGTAGTTAGGGACGTGCACCCAATTCGGGTCAGTACTTACACATTTCTCAATTTCTAAGCCGTCCTTAAAGAAAATCATATATGGGGTCACACCATCCTCACGGAAATCCAGGAGAGCCACCATACCATCTGGATTCATGTTCTCTCCTACAAAGAACTTCAGAGAAATGTGTTACTGAGACGTTTAATAAACTATTATCAGGCAAAAGTGCCTTTTTATACAAGAAAGCTATCACATCTCCAAGTTCAGGTTAAAAGTCTCCCTGACCAGCTACAAGGATTTTACTTTCTGCAGCTTGTCCATTTTAGCATCACATAACTTTATCACACCGCTATGAACAGCAGATTAAAACACAGCAGGGGCCAAAGTGATCCATCTCTCAAGTCTGACTCCATGGTTCCTGAATGGTGGTAACTGCAAATGTAGTTAACTCCAAGCATTGCCAGCTGAAATGAGATTCCCCAAACACTTTAAGGATCTTTTGCTATTTCTCCTCCCTGACTCAGAGCTCCTAGTACTCTCAGAGAAGGGCAAGGTAGATGTCCTCACAACAGGAGCCCTCAAAACTCTCAACAAGCTAGTTAAGCAGATGAACCAAGCGCAGCTTGTATCACTGCAATACTGCTGTAAGGAGATGTAAATGTCATTACCTGATAGTTTTTGAAGTTAGCAAGGATGTGTTTGATTTGTTCTGCAGCCCCTGTCATGAAAGGCTTTACTCTCTCTGGCTTGTGTTCCTCAAGTCTGGCTTTGATTCTGGAAGCAAAAAAAAAAAAAAAAAGCAGCTCTGAAAACATGTTCTGGCTTAGTAACTTCATTACATAACAGAAAGAGATAGTAGCAGTCAAACCACTTGATTTTGCTGCTTCTCCCCTCTCCCTCGCAAAGCCCCCAAATTTTAACTGATTTTTGCTAGGGCATAGCAGAACAGTGCCAGCCACTCCTATGAACCTCATTTTACTTCTAGGCTAGTAGCAGACAAAAAGAAGCAAGCCATTTCCACAGCACCAAGAGTACTATCGACCAGTACCACAGAGCGTTTTCACCTTTAATACTAACCCACTGAACCATGAGCAACAGAAATTATACCTTGAGCTAGCAAAAAGTTTCATTCACATGCACTGATTTTTGACATTTAAACTGTCAAGTTAGAAAAGCTTCAGGAAGCTTTTCTTCACCACCTCACCCCCTTCCACACGATGGTTTGGCATAGAGGAATCCAAAAGAAAACAGCAAAGTTACAAATAATGTCCAAAGCACATGATCAGGTCCTCTACCTCAGCCAAGACAAACTCTGATATTCCAGTCCCAGTTCTTTAGAGCTCCAGTTTTGCCAAGTATTAAGACATTACTGAAGTTCACAGCCAGTTTGGCACCTGCATCGGAACTAACACCTACTAGGAATAAAGTTCAAAACTGTTTTTTAAAGATCTCGGCAACCTAAAAATTTTGCAATCCCATTTGAAGATAAAGCCTACTGCCACTTACGCTTTCATGTAGTCCTTGATGTACTTCTTGTAGGATTCTTTTGTAAAGCTGGTTTCCTGAAGGTGGTGGTTTATTACTATATCAACACCAGTTATGACCGTGGCTTCTGTTCCATCTCCCTCAGGACCTTCAGCAGAGGCATTGCCACCAATTAGAGAGTCATCAATTTGACCCTCTGTCCTGGTGACCATCTAGATTTAGAGACATCAAAAAACTTAACGGCTCTGCGAAAACCTTCACGCTCCCGCTCTTACACATCTATGACCTGACAGCAGGGCATGACTTCAGAGCCACAGTTAAGCGCGAGGAACCCGACTGCAGCTCAGCCAGGGCCTTTCCTCTCCCGGTGCCCGACCAAAGCTTCCTCACGCCCGCCAGCTCTGTGCTTGCGGCAGCGGCCGGCCCTTCCCCAGCCACAGGCCTCCCCTCCTCGGGCCCCTCACAGGGGAGCCAGCCCGCTCTCCCAAAACCCACCCCCTGCCCCCGCCAGGCCGGGCTCCCGGGCCCTGAGTCACCGCGGCGAGGCCTCCGTCCCCTCCCTCCGCCTTCCCCTCCCTCCCTCGGGGCGGGCGGGACACTCACCTTCCCCTCCACTTCCAGGCACAGGCCGTTCGCCACCTCCCGGATCTTGTAGATGTCGGAAAACATCTCGTCCTCTGCAGGGTGGGACGACACGGACGGACACACAGACACACGTCAGCCTCCGCCCTGGTTTCCCCCCCCCCCCCCCGCCCCCGCCCGGGTCCCGCCGCGCCAACCGGGCCGCTCCCCCCCCCCCCCCACCCCGCCCCGCACATGCGCAGCACCGCCAGGCCCAGCCGCCGGGCCCAAGGCCGCTTCCCCCCCCCCGCCCCGACCGCGCAGCCCAACCAACCCCCCCCCCCCCCGCCCTTACGGCTGATGCAGTCCCGGTAGATGATCATGGCGGCGGCGGGGAGGAGGGGGGGGTGGAGGGGACGGGGGGGGTGCGGCGGCGCGGGTCTGTGCGCAGCGACCCGAAGGGCGGGCGGGAGCGCGGCGGAAAGGGCCGAGTCAGCGCCGGCCGGGGCTCATATAGCGGGCACGTCCCGGCGCGTCACCGCGCACGCGCCCTCCAGCCCGCCCCCCCCCCCCCCCCCCTCCCGCGCATCCCCTCCACCCCTTCCGCGCTCCGCCCCCCCCCCCCCCCGCGCGGCGCCCTCGCGCGGCGGGCGGCCGTTACCGCTGAGGGGGGAGAAACCCGCGCGTTACCCTCCGCCGAGCGCGAGGAGCTGGCGGGTGTGAAGGCGGGCTGCCATCCCTGTGCTTCCACCGGTAGATTCGCCCAGCTGCCTCCGCCATGTTCCTCTTACCGATTTTTTATTTTTTTTTATTTTTTTTTTTTTTTGACCTAGGCGCGAACTTTACCCTTCAACCCTGGCACAAAGCTCAGTTTCTCAAGGAGAAATGCTCCGAGCCGTTCCCGGGCATCTCGAGGGCTTCTTCCCACCGCGGCCGTCGTTCGCTGCGCTCACACGCCATTAACAGCCTGACGGTGTGCCTGTCGCCTGTCGCGACCCCCCCTCCAGCCGCCTCCATCTCACCTGCAGCCTGGCTCCCTGTGCTCTCTCGCTGCTGGGGAGCTCCTGGTGCTACGGGCCATGGCACGCACTTGTGGCGTGTGCCTTCTCCAAATAAACGATACATTTTAATAGACAAATAAATAAGAAGCTGTTAGTCTCTTCCTGTTACTACTCCCTCAGATAAATCCAACTGGGTGTGATCAGAGACACCGCTTCTGTGCTTGCGAAAGGACTGGTTGGGGCAAGTATATTTTTCTTATTTTTATACAGATGAATGAGATTAAGGACAGCGGTCAGGGTCGAGATGGAAAGCAGAAGGACATTAATACCTAGGCCTCTTTTTCCCCCTTGCTTATACTTTTCTGCAGCAGCCTGTCACAGCTGAAATAAATGTAGACCTCCCTCCAACCCTGATTCATAGGGGACATTGACAAAATACCTTCAAAAGACATCATGGGACCTAAAATGCTTAATCCTGCTAACAATCTCAGACTTGATAGAGATGCCAGGGCACAGGATACAATTCTCTCACCCTCCTCAGGCAGTAAATTACTCATTGCTTGCTTTGTGTGTGCCGGAGGAGCTCCGTTTTATCTCCTCTTCCACAGCTATCCCTTCCTTTGCTCCAGATATCAGAACCCTTTTTTTTTTTTAGATGGTCCAGCTGCTTATGTAATCTAATTAAATTTATAAGTCATTCTCCGCTGGTTTTCACCTTCAAGACTACTGCTGCTATTTCAGACCTGGAGAAGGGGCTTCTGCCCAAAAGTTCATCTGTTTTTTCTCAGTGGTAGCTGGCCTGATGAAAGCTAGTCCCTCTTTTTACAAACCACAGTAGAAAAAGAGCAACTTACATCTTTAGCATTGGGTTGAGTGACAGGGGAACATTTGGCTCCTTCTCCGTAGTGTAATATGGAGCTAAAAACATCCAGTTAGTAGGTGTGCTTCAATTTGGTTTTATTTTGAAGAGATTGTTCTAGAAAAATTAGTATTTCTGTAGTAATATTGCAACCTCTTACAAATTCAGCAGTGGGCTCAATTTACCGGAGTCAGGGTAAAAACCATTTGGCACCACTGCTAAGGTAGATGAACCTTCTGGTTGCTTTGCCTGGAGGTCTATATTCAGAGTTGCAGCTGTGAAATTACAGATATTATTTAAAAATGTGTTGGTTAAATAGGTCAAGGCTCCTGTGTGAACACCAATTTGATGTGGAGTTAAGCTAAATCAATATCAAGTTGAAAAAGCTTTAAATGAGACTAGGTGTGTTGACATGACAAGGTTTTGCATCCTTTTAACTTGAGTCGCTTTTAAAACTGATTTAAACTCAGACAACCCTCAATAAGTCCCGGGACTAAGTTAGTGATATTTGAATTGGTGTAGGCTTTGCAAGAAGCACTTCACTGAGGTACCAGTGCTGAAAAGTTCCTGTGATGCCATATAAACAGATAATAATGTCATGTGCTGATACTTTGTGATGAACTAGATTAGAAAATGCATTATTATTTTTTTTTTTTCCCCCAGAAACCAGTGTCGTTTGAAGAAAATCTTAGTGTTCTTCACCTGCTTGCTGTATGGGCAGCCTCTTCAAGCACCTCTCGCATCCATCCAGGGTTATACATTGCAGAGTGGTAGGTTAAAAAGGTGGTCTCTTTGCAGCAGGGTCTTTTTAGGTGCTGAGTGACATCTAAAATGATGTGACAGGTTTTCCTGACAGTGCACCTCATCTTTGGAGACATGTAAATCCCCAAGGACTGATGGAAGTCCTGTGTTTTTATAGATAAGTCTTCTAATATCATTTGAGGAGGATTTTCTAGGCGGGTGTCTGCAGGGTCTAACAAGAAGCCTTTCTCATGGAAGAAATGTCTCAGCTAGTTGTGAATTATGGCAGTGTTACTTACATCAAATATTAGCATCTGGTTATGACTGTGTTCAACTAATTGCTTGTGTCTTGGATTAAAATGGCAGATGACAGCTGATACTTCACCATTCTTTCTCTAAGTAAACAGTAAGTTTTCAGCTCATTGTGGTAATTCCCCATTGAGCTGTACAAAAAGAGAGGAAATCCTGCCTGCAGCTAAGTCTCCTGGCAAGTGTAATCAGCAGAAATAAATGAGAGGCAAGGCTGGGCTATGGTGTAAGGGAGGGCACCAGTGCGTTCTTCTAACCTTTGTAAAAGGCTGTGAAGGTCACATAGTAGTGATATTTTACGTCGTTTACTGGATACAGGGGAGAGGGTCCTAAAAATATATACATATATCCTGGTAGAGAGAAACAGGAAAATTGAAGACTGAATAACTGGGCGAGACCTGGCACTGCAGAGAGGCCTGGCAGGGCACTCTGTGCCCAGTGTTCCCTTTGCCACTGTGTCTCCTGGCACGAAGGCTCTGGCATTAGGAGAGAGGATGCATGACAACACCATGATCAGCTTGTGTCTTCACAAATCTGTCTGGAATGTGGAGCTGAAACAGGAGTTGCAACTTTGTAGCCCCTCATTCCGTCCACCCAGATGGAAACTGTAGGTCTAACTGGTTGTGTTCAAGTTCTTTCCCCAGGCTGTTCCAGGGCAGTGAAGATTTGATCTCTAGGTGCTAAACCTTCTTATTAATTGGGAATTGACCTCAGAAAACCAGCCCATCAGTTTGACTCAGGTGTGTTTAGGTTACACAATATTGCCAGCATTTCAGTCCCTTGCAATCCTTGAAGCCTTGTGGATCTCGAGCCAAAATTCATAATTTAGAACTATGTTGGCAGTGTACAATGCCTGAATCCCAGATCCCAAGGTTGGTATTTGAAAGAGTTGCGCTTTGATCATCAGTGTAGCTTATTGGATCTGATCTATTCACAAATAATAGAACATGTTAGACTGGCTTAGGTCGATGAAGATATCCCAGACACAGGCATCTCTTTTTAGAATGCAGGAAGGGTCTTCAGTTCAGCAACAACCCCTGCTGCACTCAGAAGAAATGTAGGTGTTGCTATCCTGAAGTTTACAGTATTTCCAATTCTCCCTGTTGCAGCTGGGTCCCTGAAAATCCTCAGCATCTTCCTTGGCTGTATACCCACAGCTGTTTTTCTTGATGGCTGGCTGCACTTCTTCAAACAGACAGAGAGGTCACTGCACAGCAACGAAACCCCTTTTATCTGTGACATTACAGGCACCAGTTCAGCTTACCTAAAACCCTGCCAGTGGGGATGTGTGAGGCTGTCAGCCTGCACTGCAACTAGTGTGTTTTCAGGAAAAACGGGACTGGAATTGCCAAGATAAGAACTTTGAAGCAAGGTGCTGCCCAAAGCTGCAGCCACATTTCAGACTTAGTAACCTTATAAACATCCATGTGACTAAAAGAACGATGGTAGAAAGGCCTGCTCGTGTCTTGGGTCTGCTGCCACTCAGTTTTTGACTAATGTCCTGAACGCCGGAACAGAGGGTGCCTTCACTAAAGTTGCAGACAACATTAGGTTGGGAAGGACCACAAGTGTATTGGAGATTGAGATTAGAATTTAAAAATTATTTTGATACACTGGACAAATGTCCTGAATAGTTAGAAGGCACTTGGGACAAGGCCAGTAGGTCAACGAGCAGTCAAACGGATTTACTGAAGGGAAATCTTTTGAAGGCTTTTAAACACAAAGGTGCAACTTGAGGTTCGGGCGAGCTCTGAGCCACACATTGCTAGAGCCTGAGAGAGAGTGTACGGGGGAAGTGCTGCCTCATACTGCTCCGGGTCCTTTGCTCTGCCCTTGGCTTCTGCTGCTGGAAGATGCCAGGGGCCTCTGAGCTGATGCTGCACTCCATGTGGCTGCTCTGATGTCACCGTGCTCTTGAGTGCAGGGCAGAAATGGTCAGCCACAGACACAGGACAGAGAAATGGGCAGCAGTTCTAAACCAGACTCATAGAATCACTTAGGTTGGAAAAGACTTTTAATATCATCGAGTCCAACCATAAACTCAATACTGCCAAATCCACCCCTAAACTATGTTCCTAAGTGCCATGTTTACACGTCTCCAGGGATGGTGACTCAACCACTTCCCTGGGCAGCCTGTTCCAGTGCTTGACAACCCTTTTGGTGGAGAAATTTTTCCTAATATCATCTGTCTTACCTATTTTAAGAAAAGCCCACGCCATAGTGCAATATATAAGTGGTGCTGCTATGTGTAACAAACTTCTGCTATCTAAAATATGTGAGGTTTAATCCTAGTACCTTTAGTCCTATTTAAATATAGTGTGGTACAGTCCTTTGACTCAGATTAGAGGCTGTGGAAAGGGCTGAGTGCCAAACCTAAGGGAAAGGTGAGCAGGGATTTAACCCCTCGTGCTTGGCAGGACTCCGTTTAATACGTGGGCAGTAAACCTGGATCTTTCTGCAGAGAGATCTGCTCTTACAGCAGAGTGGAAGATTTAGAAATTCATCCACTTAAAAAAACCAACAAACACATCAAAATCAGTGCACGCCTGGCTGGTTCAATTGCTTTGCAAAGAATGAGCGTGGAATTCATCCTATTTAATCTCCACAGGAGAGATGGGTCACCACCAGATCCCTTTGTT